GCGTCTGCTGTACTGTTTTTATTTTTCTATGACAAAGCAGTGAAAGTTAGAAAAGTAAATGCACAAGGGAAGCTCTCTTGACACGAAGCTGCTTAAACTTCTATGAAAATCAGTTGTGTTCTTTTGGAATGGAGGCAATTCTTGACCTAGTTGAGTCTAAAATGGGGGGGAAAAGGGCATTCTACTAAATATAAGTAAAAGAAATACCCTGAAAATTAAAATAGATTTTTGTCAAGGTTTCCTAGTACATGGATAAAATAATAAAAGTTCACATAAACTATTTTATCTCTCTGAATACCTATTACTTTTTATAAAACCAAAAGGGTCTTTATGTTTTCTCAAACTCTTAGTTTTGGTCTTTAAGAAGCAGATGGCTTTATGGTTGAAAGTCATTTGGAGAATTACAATGGCTCCTTTGTTAACTGGAACATTTTCCCTGCACGTTCTGAATGCAACAGATCATGAAAAGCGACAGGGCGAGGCCGCATGCATTATTTTAAGTTCATCGAACAGACACAGGATATTTACTTCTTGTGAACAGAAATCCAAAGCCCTCCTAAACATGTTGAGATGCAAAATACTATTGAATCTAAAGCCTTCAAGGTAACCAGGTGATTTTTAGCTATACATTTATAATTACAATGATTTAATATGTGGTATGCTGACAGAATCTGAAAGCTTGTGGATGCTTAGTGTGTCTAAAACACTGCACCTGTGGGGTGTCATGAGTCTAGCACTTGGCAACTCTGATACACAATAACACAACAAAGAAGTTCCACTGATATACCTACTCTCAAAACCAGTTACCAAATAGACAGCAGAGGGTCAATTTATTAGCCAAAATTTATAAGTAAATAAAGTTACTGAATGCCCATATGTACCTCATAGTTTTTTGTTAGGTCATTCAATCATCTGGGCAATGAATATTTATTGAACATCTCCTCTGTGCTAAATTCTGAGAATGTTTCAGTGAATAAAACAAAATTCCTCACCTCAAAGAGCTTATTTGCATCTGAGCTCTAGGTTATTCCCAAAGGCACATGAATATCCATTCGTGAACTGGCTATAAAAGTTTATCATCCCATTGCATCACTGTGAATCACGGCACACCTGCGGTGTGAAAGGTGCTGAGAGCCAGTAGATGGATAGAGGGAAGGAATAGAAAAGGCATGAGGGGGATGGTGAGGAAGAGGAGTGGATGGGAGATGATGGAGATGAGGGAATAAAAAGGCGCAGAAAGGAGGACAAAGACAAACACGCACCCAATATGCTTTTATGATTTAGCATCAGAAAATCTGGACTCCATGCCCACACTGCCTCTCGTAAAGGCATGAGCTACAGGAGGCTGCGTGCCCACTCTATGCTTTCCTTGTCTATAAAACAGGGCTGTGGTTGTGGTGAGGATCACAAGACAATATGTGGAAAACACTGAAAGTTATAAAGTACTTTGAGAATTAAAGAGATTATTATTATTGCTATAAATATGTCCAGGGTGTAATTGCATATACTTTTTCAAATGACATACAATCATTGCAACATTTCCTATTTGTTCTCAGTAAAGAGAAAAGATTATAGAGGCAGATGACAACCTTGACAGAAGGCAACAATAATCAGAGCTGAAACACTGGGGGAAAGGAATAGGTTTAATCTAAGCATATTTAATTTTCAACAAACACTGAAGTTGCCCAGGGAAATTTAAGGCACTACCTGATAGGTCTTCTGCACCAAATTACACAGATATAAAACTTCTTTGCAAGCACCATGAGAGAAAGGAATACTAATGGTATAAACACTTTCATTTTTTTCTGGTTATCTGTGTATTAAAAACCTGATGTCTTAATATTTGCAACTTTTACTTTGCTATGTTTGCATAACTGGAATGCATGCAGTTTTCATAGTTATGTCCTAAGGGGACCGACAGCCCCAGAGACAACTGGCCTGTCCAGCACAGCAGGGTCTTACACCCGAGACCAGAGTCTTTGCTCTGCAGCCTCCTGAGTTGTGTCATCTTAGTCACCGAGGTGACTTTCTTTCCTTCTCACTCTCCCAAGGAGAGCTCTGCATCTGCCTCTCAGAATCACTGGGAGTGTCTTTTACACAGTCGGCCTTGAGTAAATGGCAACTGCTGATATTTTTATTAAGAAAAGTGACAGTAAAAATAACATTTGCCCTGTGGCTTAGCTTTTCCTTTGGCTTGCTCCTAGAGACAGAAATCATTAGACATCTGCCACAACCGAAACTTCACCTATCACCATGGACATTGTCTGGTCTGTCTGTAAAACCTTTTTGAAATTGGTTCTATAATACTTCTGAAATGTAAAATTTTGCTAATTTTTCTTATAGCTAACACGAAATAAGGTTGTAGCAGCAAAATCCTAGTGAGATGCCAATCAAAAGCCTTGGCCGAGGCTGTAATAATAATAATAATAATTCAATTCAGTGAATTGAATTATTTCAATTCGCTGAGGATCTAGTCAGTACACATACCAGGCACTCAGCTAGCCACTTTCCAAAAGCTATGCCATTTAATTTTCAGAATCACATTGTGAAGGGGATGGTATTATCACCATCTTACAACCAAGCAAAGTGAGCCCAGGGTATCTAGCTGATTTTATCTTCTATCACACAGCTAAGACGTGGCAGACCATAAATAAAACCCAAGTCTATCTGATTAATTTCTGTCTAAATCACTTGACTGGTCTTTCCATCTCCATATACTTACTTTCCTGGGGGATATAATGATTTAACTGTACATCTCTATTAGAAATATCCAATGAGAATCTAATACCTCTGAAATTTATTCTAAAAACTATGTATATATTGTTCACTGATTAGACTCAAAATGCCAAGAACACAGTATTCCAGGGTAAGAGCTTCAAATACGGAAAAGTTATCTAAGCTGTGTCTTAGAAAAAATCTAATAATTAATCAAAATAGAATTGTCCCATCTTTTAAAAACCTATATAATTAATATATTTTGGAGGTATGCTAAAAAAGAACTATTAGTAAGATTTAAGGTTGATTTCTCCAACTACCTTCTTACTAAGCAGAGCAACTAAATGGTTCTGGCTTAAAACTCCAGCATCTGCCCTGGTTGGTGGCTCAGCTGGTTGGAGCATCATCCTATAAACTGAGAGGGTTGTGGTTTTGATAACCAGTCAGGGCATATGCCTACATTGTGGGTTTGATCTCCAGTTGGGGCGTACACAGGAGGCAACCAATCCATGTTTCTTTCTCACACTGATGTCCCCCCCGCCCAACCTCAAATCAACAAACATATCCTCAGGTGAGGATTTAAAAAACGAAGAAACTCTGGCATCCCCAAGTGGCTTTTATATGTAAAAAGACTGTTAGTGTTCAAAACAAAAACAAGAAAATAATGAAATTCATTACTGCAACCAAAGGAAAAGCAGGCACAAGTAAAACGGCAAATTGGTCCTAATTAAGCAACAACTCAGTCAACAGTAAAGTCTGCATACTCTAGTTTGAGAGTAACCAGGTCTATTCATGTTAAGAGGCCTTCCAGAGACTGGCTGTTTCTCGGTTGGCCTTAACATTTCGGCTCCAGAAACTAAATTTTCAAGGGTACTGTGGCCCTCTTAGTTTGCCTTTCTAAAGGGAATTTATGGCTCATCAATTTGTAACACAATTTAAAGTTTAGATTTGCTCTAGGAACCGCAATCTAGATTAGAACAAGCAATACTATGGGAAGTGGAATAACATCAGCGTATGTCCGAAGATGAACTGTGGTACTTTTCCCCACTGCATTCCCATTATCACTTGTCCCTGCACAAATGGTAAACATTGTTTCACCATGTTATTAAAATAGTGTGACTTATTTATCCTTCTTATTACTACAGTTCAGAGAATAAGTATCATTGTTTTCATACTTCTAGTTTACAATACTTTGTAATGCAACCCATCTTCCTAGGTTCTTTGTTAATAATTAGGCACTAAACCAAAGACTTTTCTCCTTAGCTCAGGCTCAACATGTGTATCCAAAGCCTAACTCCAAGGGGAGAGAAAAGGTTAAAACTTACTGAATAAAAGAAAGCTGTGTGTGGTATATTTACATGATGGAATACTACTCAGTCATATAAAAGAAGGCAATCTTTTTTGAAAGGAAAGAAATTTCCTTGGTGATGGAAGGCGACCTGACTGGGTGGTGAACGTACAAGACAATATACAGATGATGTATTATAGAATTGTATACTGGAAACCTATATAATTTCATTAACCAATGTCACCCCAATAAATTCCATTAAAACAAAACAAAACAATAAAAACTGTGCTTGCCATTTGTCTAAAAAGAGAAGAAAAAGAAATAATCATGTACAGAAGGGGGCAGAGAAGAGCGTGAAAGAGGCCTAGAATCTACCAAGAAACATCTCACTGGCTGCGAGGTGGGTGCTGGACCTGGCTAGGCAAATCCTAATTTGCAACCAGTGCAAAATAAGAATAGATATGAGGACCGGAATTCATGCACTTCCAATGAAAAATGTTTCTTTTGAGAATCTAGTCAACTTTGATAGTGCTACTATTAGAGGCAGGCAGGTGGTATTGCACAATGAAATCAGGATAACTTTCTTACTCATCAATAAATTTTGTCAGATCTGAGAAAATCTAGAACTGACTGAGTTCTAAGTAAGTCCGTGTGTTATTGCAATCAGTGAGGCTATAATAAATAGCAGTACAATTGTCCTCTTCTCCAAACAGTTAGAAGCGGAGATTTCATAACTTTCTGAAACTGTCTTGATATTTACTAATCTACAACAGAGTAAGTGATCAAAGTGTGAAGGGGGTATTAAACCACGAGTAATAGAATCGTAAAATTATTTTGTAGCATGCAAATTTCATCACATACCCAAAGTATTAGATGTGCATTGTTCTAACAGAAAAACAAAAACAAAGAAACAAACAACAACAACAACATAAACACTGGAGGGGTTAGAGAACGGTCAGGGCTGACATTCTGCGGCAGAGGACACCCCATACTCTACCTGCGCCCACCACGAGGGCCCTAGGCTCACAGCTGCGGATGCAGTGCAGTAGGGAGTTGGAGCGAACGTTGGAGTTGAGGAAGGCCACCACACAGCCCAGCTTGGCCAGACCGAACCACACGTGGACAAAGTCAGGCTCATTGCTCATCAGCAGAGCCACAGTGTCCCCCCTTTTCAGCGTAGAATGGTTCAGGAAAACATAGGCCACTTTGCTGCTCCTTTTGTCCACATCCTCATAGGTGTAGATGTCTCCCTCATAGATGATGAAAGGTTTCTGGGGCCGCTTCTTGGCGCAGCTCATAAATTTATCCAGGACAGTGACAAGCTGCCCTTTCCGACTGTACAGCTGCAGCCGAATTCCACAGCGTAACACCTTCAGCAGGTACCAGAAGTCGTTCCAGAAGTAAGGGAACAGGAGTTTCTGCACGAAGTGCAGTAAGACTATTCCGGCCCCTAGACCTGATATCCATAACAGGAGCATGGGGGCCACGGGGCCAGAATGCCCCTCTGGTCCCAGCCTGCCGAGTGAGTGTCCCTCTCTTCCAGGCAGGTTCTCAGGGTTCAGGACTGGCACCTGCAGTTTATACCAGCCTTTGGGGGTGGAGTTGGCCGTTGGGGGTGGAGTTGGGGTATGGGGGAGAGAACCTGTGAAACAGAATTAGGAGTTTTCAAAGAGAAGCTTGCAACATAGGAGAGGATGCCAGGAATAAGACTTGAGACACCTTGTGGCTGCGAAGAGAGAGCAGGATTCTGGCGAAATCAACGCAGGCAGCCTCAAGGGGCCTTGACACAGCGCCTTCGCCAGACGGTGGGTTCCTCCGCGGCACTTTCCAGCTACGTCCTCCGGTGGGTTGGGTCAGTTCCCGGCTCCTCGCCTCGGTGGCCCTACTGGAGACCCACCCACCACCGCCTCAGGAAAAGTCCGTCCAGGGTCAGGGTAGTTCTTCCAGGGGCTGCAACTTGGAGGCTCAATTGGAACCAGCAGAAACTGGGGTGGCGACGGCTGAGAAACCACAGCCTTCAAATGCCTTAAGGCGCCAGAATCCGGGGAGGGTTTCGGGGCCACACTGCCGCCGTTGGCCCCGAGGCCCGTGGGATCCCGGCGCCCGGAGAGACGCCCTCGCTGCGCGGCAGGCTCTCCTCTCGGACGCACCCGCACCCGGTGCCGGCCACCTACTCCCAGGTGACCGCCGCCGCTGCCCACGGGAAGGAGCAGCCTCCAATCCCGGCCGCAGCCCGCAGCTCCCCTCCCGGTGACCTTGGGGCTGGTTGATCTCTCCTTTCAACTGCGGTGGGGTTGTCCTCCGCCTACCTCCCGCCTCCTGGTTCCGGGCCACCCCCTGCTCTTGCTCCTACTGCTTGTCGCTGCACAGCTCGGGCTACCCTCGCCGGCTCCTCCCTCGGCTCTTATACTGCCTTAGGACTCAGAAGGGCCTCTGGCGGGGAAGCTGGAGGACGTGGCAAAGGGTCCGAGAGGACCAGGTGGCTGGAATTGGGTCGTTTAATTAAGTCAATAAAGAATTGAGAGACCTACAACTAGAGTCTGGAGAGGAGAGGGGGCCAAACGAAACTGCAGAGAGACAGAGGCAGAGAGATGAATTGGGCCGTCAAAGAATGTTTGGATTCTTGAATTCTTTGTGCATTAAACACCATAAAACTGGCTTGTTCTACAAAAAGTATTTTTGAAACCATAAATTACTAGGTTGTCATGGACATTTATATAGCAATTCAATGCTTAGAGTGCCCAGTGCTTTTCACAAAATTTCCAAAAATGATTGATTGATGTGGGAGCCTAAGTCCATATCGACATCCATATATTTTTTTAAAAGTATAAAATACTGACTATTCTTTGTCCTTAAAAATAATTTTTAACAGGTCATTAAAAAAATTCTCAGACTTCAAACTAAGGATTCTAAATGAGAAAGAAGGAAGTGGAGAGGGAAGAGGTAATTGCAAAGAATAACAATAAAATCTTATGCAATGATGAAATTTTACTGAAGATAAAAAAAAAACTTGAAGGGCATTTAATTATTTTCTTTTCCTTGCAGACACCCACCTCAGCTCTCTGGTTTTAAGGAGTATATAAAATTAATTGTACCCACTGAAATGATTAAGAATTGCTTTTCTGTCTATGTCTTGCAACTGGGTTCTAGCTAACCTCAGTTTTTCTTTTAAAGAAAAAATAGCTCTGAAGACAGACATCTAAAATGATTATTTGTAGTCACAGAGAAGAGTCCAGAAGTAAGACAGGCTCTTAAAATCCTTTTGTGTACATGAAGAAAACAGTTTCTAAATTTACTCGGAAGCTCTGGTCTTTTCAATTCAGAAACATCTTTTTAGTTAAAATAAGAGTATCGGTATCAAATATTTCACAACTCAGGAAAGCAGTTTATAACTTGAAAAGCACATTTGAAATTCTCTCCTTTTTACTCCCCGTTCTAGTCCTGTGGTGGGCAGTTAGACAGGAGCGGAGCAAGGACAGAGGACAAGGTACAGAAGGACACCAGGGTGGAAAGCCCCTGGGGGCCTGGCAATGGGGAAAATAAGGACCTCACCCTCAGGGCCAAGGTTCCCCTCTGGCATATTGCTGGTCCCGGGGTTTGGGTCCTCCTCTGACCTTTCCTCCCCTGGCATATCACTAGTCATATGGTAGACTAGTTTTTCTTTAACAGAAAAACTGAGGTCAGCTAGAACCCAGTTGTAAATCACATGGTAGACTAGTGATATGCCATGAATGAACATGGCAGCCAGAGAATAGCCCTTAAGCATTAAGTCCCAAGACAATGAGGTTCTGACCCACATCAAATACACCTGGGCCTCAGTTGCGCTCTAAACCCCAGAAAAAGCAGCAAAACCAGACACATGAAGCCCTGCTGACCTCAGCACCAGCTATATTGACTAATGGCCCCCTCCCCTAGTGCTGACCAATCCGTGGAGACCAAAACTCTGAAATAACACCCCTATGAAACTGATGCATATTCTGTTGATATCCTCCCCCAGGACTTCCCCTGAAATCCCCATTCTTAAAAGCCCTTAGGATGGAGGACCCAGTGCCTCTCCCTCCTGGGGGGCATGCTGGAGCCTTTCCCTTTCCCTTCCCCTTCTTCCTCCCACCCTCAGTGCTACCTTTACCTTCTCTCCTGAGCTCCAAGGACCCTTCTTTTGCCTTTATTACTTGATTCATGAATCCATTTCTTCTACTGCTCACTTTTGCCTCTGTGACTTTCTAAATAAACTTTCTCTGTCGTTTAAGTCTTGGTTCTGAATTCTTTCCTAACCAGATCTCAAGTACTAAGGTTGCTGAACCAAGGTGTGGTTTGACCCTACCCATCTAACACTTGGTGCTGTTTTCACCACCAACAGTCTGATTCACTCCTCTACTAGAAGACATGAAGCACAGAACAGAATATGGAACAGCTGGTGTCAGACTTTTGGCTTTCCAATACAAGTAAACTCTGTCCTCCTCTACTGGAATAAAATGAGTAACGAAACAAGATTTCCATGTTTTAATTTTGTTAAATTAGAAACATTATGCAAACATGAAAACAATTACCATCTACTGTTACCAGTTTCATAAAGGGAGGATGTATTTCAACATTAAAAAGAAGAAGAAAGGGAATATCGTTATAATAAAGGAAGATATTTCAAAATAAATAAAATTACTTCACCCTGGCTGGTGTGGCTCCGTGGATTGAGCACCAGCCTGCAAATCGAAAGGTCACTAGTTCGATACCCAGTCAGGGCACATGCCAGGGTTGCAAGCCAGGTCCCTGGTTGGGGGAGTGCGAGATGCAACTGATTGGTGTATATCTCACACACTGATGTTTCTTTCCCTCTCTTTCTCCTTCCCTTCCCCTCTCTTTCTCCTTCCCTTCCCCTGTCTCTAAAAGTAAATAAATAAAACCTTTTAATAAAATAAAATTAACTGCATAGACCAATGGAACAGAACAGAGAGCCCAGAAATCAACCCAACCCTCTACAGTCAATTAATATTCGACAAAGGGGGCAGTAACATAAAATGGAGTAAAGATAGCCTCTTCAGCAAATGGTGTTGGGAGAACTGGACAGCTACGTGCAAAAAAATGAAACTTGAGCACCAACTTACACCATACACCAAAATAAATTCAAGGTGGATAAAAGACTTAAATATAAGCCATGACACCATTAAAGTCCTAGAGGAGAACATTGGCAAGAAAATCTCAGATATTCCACGCAGCAACATTTTTACAGATATGTGCCCTAGAGCAAGGAATATAAAGGAAAGAATAAACAAATGGGATCTTATCAAAATAAAAAGCTTCTGCGTGGCTAAAGAAAACAGTATTAAATTAAAAAGACAACCAACTGTATGGGAAAACATATTTGCCAATGATACCTCAGACAAAGGTTTAATCTCCAAAATATACAAAGAACTTACACGACTCCACTCTAGGAAGACATCGAACCCAATTAAAAAATGGGAAAAGGACTTGAACAGACACTTCTCTAAAGAGGACATACAGAACATCCAGAGACACATGAAGAGATGCTCAATATCGTTAGCTATCAGAGAGATGCAAATTAAAACCACAATGAGATACCACTTTACACCAGTCAGGATGGCTATAATAGACAAAGCAACAAACAACAAATGTTGGAGAGGGTGTGGGGGAAAAGGGGACCTTAGTTCACTGTTGGTGGGATTGTAGACTGGTACAACCATTATGGAAAACAGTATGGAATTTTCTCAGAAAAATAAAAATTGACCTGCCTTTTGACCCAGCAATTCCACTGCTAGGATTATACCCCAAGAATCCTAAAACATCAATTTCAAAGAACCTATGCACCACAATGTTCATAGCAGCACAATTTACAATAGCCAAGAGTTGGAAGCAACCTAGGTGCCCATCAGTAAATGAATGGATCCAAAAATTGTGGTACATATACACCATGGAATTTTATGCAGCAGAGAGAAAGAAGGAGCTACTACCTTTTGCAACAACATGGATGGAACTGGAAAGCATTATGCTGAGTGAAATAGGCCAGGCATTGAAGGACAAATACCATATGATCTCACCTTTGACAGGAAGCTAAAGAATAAAACAAATAAGCAAATAGAATAAAAACAAAGACGCTGAAATAGAGAACAAGTGGGCAGCGACCAGAGGGGAGAGGGAAGGGAACTTGAGGGGAAAAAGGGGGAGGGATTTTGAGGAACAAGTATGAAAGACACAGACTTGAGGACTGGGGGTGGGGGGGGAATGGGAGGGAGGGGGGAGACCGGGCGGGGGGGGGGGAAGGGAAAAAAAAATGTACTTGAAAAGTAACTAAATAAAAAAAATAAAAAAATAAAAAAAAAAAAAAAAATAAAATTAACTGCATGAGAAACACATTGTGTTCCACTTACTTTTCTTATCATGGACTTGCTAACACCATTTCAAAGTTTGGAACTAAATTTTCAGCAACTACTGATGTGAGTTGAGAATATATTTGACAGCATGAGACAATTTGACTTATTGGGAGAACTACAAGCATATTTTGCCAAAGTTTATATTGACCAATACCAATTTTGTGCCTGAAATCTTACAATGAAAGAAGGAATCAATGAAAATCTTGGGATTTGTGCATTCCTATCAATCCATGTGACTCCTTTTATTTTTTCCAGAAATTTTGTTTTGTTTTCAAATTGTGCCAAAGACAGTTGAGTAAACGGATACAATTATTAATTCTAATTTTAATTATTGCAAAGTGGGGGAAAGACTAAGCTAGTTGCAAGTGAGAAAATTTATCATTTAACTAAAGTAAAGAGAAGTAAAGACATGCAAATAGTCTAGACATTTGTTAACATTATGTTTGATCGGGGACAATGGAGTATTTCTTGGTTTTCCCTTTAGAAAATGTAGAAATTTTATGTTTTTCTTTAATATTATTTGAAAATATTGTGACAATGCAAAAAGATAATTTTTCTTTTATTGTTTTATTCAAATATGTTCTCATCTACCTTTTTCCCATTTGTGACTAGAGTTTTCTAACAGACTCCCAACCCCCTCCGCACCCCAAGTTCTGCTGATGATGAATTGTTTACTGGACAGATCAAAGTGAGACTAAGGAAATAACATCATGTGATGGATACTGACTCATCTTGCACTCACAGGGTTTCACCATTGTAACTTGAGAATTCTGACTTTGTACAAACACACTAGTGTCTAGAAGAATTCTGATAAAACTCTAAGGCAGCAACATTCTGGATTATGAGAAGTTTGGGTGAGAAGGAAGTTTGGGTGAGAAAGGACCCAAATGATGCTATGTTGCTACCA